TAATAAGCATGAGATGCAAATAATAAACATGAGAAGTGCATTCAGTAGAAAGTAAAGCATAGAGTAGGCATATAATTTCTAATGTTGAAGCAGAGTCTTAACTGTAACAAATTAACATAATTAATAAAAATAAATGGTATTTATTTTGTTTTGAAGTAGAAGTAGATGTACATCTAGTAGTAAGGAAGTACTACTTACACCTTTAACTGCCAACTTTTATTTACCCCTTTCAAAGTTTGCTTATGCATTTTTACTAGGGAATTTTGTAATTTGATTCCTCTGATTTTATAGCTCCCTAAAATATTCCAAGGGTACTATCTTTCACACTGTCTAAAACAAATAAATAATTCTTGTGAATTATTTTAATCTAAACTTTGAATATTTTCTATGCCAGTAAATCAGAACACATTTTAATCCAAATTTAACACATACTTTTATAAAGGCCTGGTAGTTTCTACATGTGTTACATTTGGTCTAAAGAAGGAAGACCTATTCTTGAGATTTTGCAGACAATTTCACCTCCATTTGCTATTGGTGAAATAGCTTGCGGTGCTACAGACTAACCGATCAGAAACAAAAACTGTGTGAAGAATCAATCTTTTCTCTTGTAAATATCTAAAACACTAGAGCAAAGAAGGAAATCAAGGATTTTTCTGTCTTCTGTTTTTCCTAGTTATTTGATCAAAATAAGCTAACTTGGATGTAAAGCAAAGCTGTAACTGACAATTTATTGAGGTCATGAGGTCAACATTTTTCATATGATTTCTATAGAAATCTTTAGACATAACAGATTAATAACATACATACTTCAATTTCATAGTTTCTATTTCTCCTGGGCAACATTGAAACTCTGAACTACAACCTAGACCACAGAGATAGTTTCCACTTTTCCATGTGAATGTGACCTGAAACACTTATAAACAACACAGCAGTGTTTTGTTGTTGTTGCTTGTTTGCTTGCTGAATCAAACTAAAACCCTTTCCTTACATTTAAAGGGTTAACTGAAGATTAGTATGACCAATTATGGCTACATTAAGTCCATTCGGCTAGCTAACACACTTCTTTTCCAGATACCAGTCACAGGAATGCTTTTATAAGTTCACCATTTAACTCTCAAAATCAGCTTTTAGAGTTAGTCAATTTCCTTCTACTTCTGTGGGTTCCCAAATACCCCCGACTATGTTAAGGTTCACATCTTCTTAGCTCCTATTCTGTACACTACCAATTCATCCTGCCAATGTAATGTAGTATAGGAAACAGAAATTAAACAGATCAACACAGGGCAAAGACTTGTTTGCAGGGGGCCTAAAGCTACAGAGGCTGATGAAAAAAGAAAACTCTTCCCAGCCACAAAAAGAAAGAGCAATACCTGTAGGACTTTGAGAAACGCAATCTTGATTTGACTCTTGTGGAGGGTCCTGGCACCGTGACTCCCCGAAGATCCCAAACAAAAGCCATGTGTAAAGAAGTTGGCAGGATCGCTGGCAAGTCAGAGTGGATGCAGGGCCCTGGGGCCGGATGGCCCCTGGAGGACCAGGAGGTACTTGTGGCCAAGGGAGGGCATTTCCTCTGTGTGGTGCTCTGTGTTGCCAGGGAGGTGGCGGGTGGCTGAAGCAGGACTGGAAGAGGTGGCTGGGACTTCCTGCTGTGTGACACTCGCCCTTTGCGACAGAGCTTGCTTCACTTCGACTTTATCTCGTTAATAACGTGAGAAACGCTCCCTTGCAAATTTGTTTTTAAATATAGCCCTGATTAAACAGCACAGTCACATGCCACTCCTGGAAAGCACAACATGCACTCTCTCACACACACACACACACACACACACACACACTGTGAAAGGCATGATTGAAGTGTGAAGTTTAAGAAAAAAAAGTAAACAGAGGGCCTTTGTTTAAAAAAAAAAAAAAGTAAATACATGCCCATGACTGGGAAATTCAACAGAGATTTACTAACTTTCACACAACTAGCCGGCAAATATCATTTTCCTTATTTCAACTTCTCTTAGAAACAGGGATATACATAGTTATTAGCAAACCTCACACAAGGATTTAATGGTCTCGATAGACCAGCGCCTCCTTGCAAGTCAGCTTGAGAAGAAAGCAGGCAGATCACTTTCAGCGCTTTGGGCAGCTTTTCCCTCAAGGAGATCCTGTGTCACCTTGGAAAGTGAGTTATGACGCGTGACTTTGACAACAGAGATCAATTTTCTTGTTCATTTTCTATTCCCTAGAAACATTTCTTAACTGTCTGATAAGTCTCTTAAAACAAACTTCTTTCAAATGAAATAAATGATGGAAGCCACATAGAGCCCTTCACATTTTTTAAGAGTCGAGCACATCTCAGCGAGGCATCTATTTCAAGAGTATGCTTCAGGAGTCAAAGGACCCCAGTGCTGTCATAGGTCCTCACCACCAAGTGCTATTTAATGTTAACAATGTGGCATAATTCCACCAGTCCCTGTCCAAACACTGCCCCGCCTGTGACCTCAACTATAAACCAAGGCAGAGCTCCACTTCTCTGGGATAAGATTAGAGAGGCGTGGAGTGCCCAGCAGTGATTTAACTCCCTCCGGACTAGACAAATATAACCAATAGTTGAGCTTGGTAAGCATCACCACGTCTGCCAAATTTTGAGACCCCCTGTAGCCAAACTATCTCTTCTTATATACCCAAGGGGTCCAAACTGTTCCTGTAGTTTCTGTAAGAGCTCAAGTCAGTAAACATGACACTTATCTTCATGACAGCATCCAGCACACCAGGGGTTCCTGAGAACACTACAGGTTCCGTATCAGCCTTGGGAATGAGTAATAGAAAACGTTTTTACGGTTTCACCTCTGTGTTATCTGACAGATGGGCTAAAAGAGGGTGAGTGATAGCTGACTGAACAGCGGTGACCTTGGAGAAGCCAGAAGTTCAAAGCTAAACACAGTCTCTCCGAATCAACTAGCAATATTTTCATGCTTCACAAACTACACCCTTTTGTATGGGGATCCCCATTTCACAGGAGCAAGATTGGTGGTCAACTTCCTGGTATTCTTTGAAAGGACAGAGAAAATGTCCATACCTACCCCAGCCTGCCCTTCTGGTGTATGAAGTTCCACCATTAGCACTTTATTCCCGTATTCTATTTAATTCCCATGTCAGGACAGCTCTTAGGAAGTGCAAACATTCCTGGAAGAGCTGACACAGAGCTGAACAAGTCGGGGTTGAATAGAATGGCTTCATCTGAGACTGAAGCCAGACAGTGGAAGAAAACTGGGAGTCTGGGTGAAGAGGGGGGATGTCTCTGAAAACTGGTAGAGTGGGAGGTGGATTGGCATGAAGGGAGGGAGGGGGGTGGACACAGAACAAGTAAGAGAATAGGAGGGAAGGTACTGGCGAAGAGTTCCTTCATTCACCTTCCATGCAATACAAAGCTCTCATTTTATCCAGTGGCATTTCAAATTTTGTAGGACAAATAGCATCACTGGTTTTTAAATATGAAAGCTGCAGTCCATATATACAACATTGGAAGCAGAAAAATATTGTTTGCATTGTTAGCCCAAATGCACTTGTCAAGGAAAGATGGACCCTGTCTTCCCAGCCAGGCTAAAGCCAGCAACATGCATTTTGACCGATGCTTGTCTTTGTTCATACCAATTTACATTTTGAAAAGAATGTTCTGTTAATTGATATCTAATTGATGAAGTATAAGGGCATAATAATAATGCACAATGAAGGTATTATAGAATGTCTACCTTCTTCTAAAAGAAATTGAAGGAGATGCAGAGTTGTCTTTTTCATTATTGCCGAAACGTTTCTTCTTTTCCCTCTCTGCTTCTTGAAAGCAGATATCTAGAACAGTTAAGCAAGAGCAAAACAATGGAACTATAAATGTGAAATGATGAGCAGAAAAATGGAAACTTTGGTCCTTTTTCCTAATGTGAAATTAGATGAAGATACAAGAAGTATCTGCCAATGTTAATGTTATTTTCTCCTTAAAAATAATTACTCACCACCTCCATCCCATTTCTTCTGTACAGTTAGGCATAATCCCCCTTAGGTGACCAGATCTCAGCAAGGTCACGGAAATAAACTAGTTATTTCTGAGATTAATTATGAGCGAAGTTAAGCCTTGATTTCAAGTATAAACATTAATATTATTTTGAGGGACTGGCTAGTACTTCACAGACATGAGAATTTAGGCAATTGGAAACAATAAGAAAATTAAATAAGATGTTTGCTAGGATGAACCTGTGCTGTCATTTGTATTTCAAACAGCTGGTTATAACTTTCACTTCACATGTACTAAAGGACAGAGAAAGAAATGAAGTAGAATCTTTTGAATGTTTTAATTTGTTATATTAGTAAGCATTTATTTCCCAGAAGTTGTTTTTGGAAAAGCATGATTGAATATCAGGGAGAGATGTTCCCTCAGTTTGTCCCTGAGACAAACTCTTCTTTTACAAGTTGGAAACTAAACTTACATGGCAGAGAAAACCACGTTCTGAAATCTAAACTTTGTGTTCACCCAACTGTTATTCACATAATTCCTATCCTCTCCAAAATCGCAAGAAAATGCCTGCCTCCTGCCAATAACGTAGATCTTATGTTTTGCAGAGCTCTAAGTAAGACGTTTTTGCCTCTTGAACATTTCTGGGATTTTGTTTCCAAGATTCCAGATGTTAAAATGCAAGTTTGGGGTTTGATGTTTGACACAGAAATTCAGAATTTCCTTTATAGGAGATAGCTACTGTGAATCAAATCTGAAAAATCCCAAATTTAAAAGTAGGAGAATTTAAACATAAGCCACACAAGCATTTATTTACACACCAAGCCACTGTCTGATAGGCGGAAGGAGAAGTTTTGAGCTAAACTTCAGAGAAACAGACAGTTAGATTAATGGGCTTGTGTGATGTTGAAATACATTGCCTCAGGAGACCAGAGCAGGCAGAGATATGGGTGCAGGATAATGCAGTATTTTGAAATAGCTGCTGGTTGCAGACTCAAAGGCAGCAGAAGTTAATGTGGAAGCCAGCAATCGCATTTCGTTTTCATGTTACCAGCTACCTCTGATAAGCATTTCATCATAACAATTCGATTTTCAGGGTGATCCATTGCAAAAGAGTGTGCCGAAAGGAAATTTAACAAGTGGACTTGTGCACTTCTGAAACCTGATTCATTCCATGTAAGTAACTGTGGTTTAAACAGGCCCTCTTATTACATTAATACAGTATCATCATCAACTATCAATTATTACTCCAAATGGAAATGCTGCAAAATAATGCTGTTTTCTTGGAATTGCTTTCAAATAGTCATTCTAAATCTTATGTGTGTCTACTTGATTTAGAGGTGAATTATTCCATGTTCTGAAATGAAGGAAACTTCGGAAACTGTTTTTTATGAGCTGTAACCCAGGGGAGTGCTAACAGAATTGAAGGTACCCCATAGTCTTAAGAGCATTAGGAAAGCACACTCTGCATATTAATCTGCTTCACATGCATCCTTTACTCATATATATTCCAGGACACAAACAGGAATTATTAATTAATTAATTAAAGAGCTAAAATTATTATTATTTTATTAGTAATTATTTTATTACAAAAATTTTTTAAGTTTTTTAAAATTGATGTATAGTTGATTTCAATGTCATGCTAGTTTCTGCTATACAGCAAAGTTTCTAAGTTATACATGTGTACTCATATGTATACATTCTTTTTTATATTCTTTTATCACAGGACACTGAATATAGTTCCCTGTGCTATACAGTAGGACCTTGTTGTTTATCCATTCTATACATAATAGTTTGCATCTGCTAACCTTAAACTCTCAATCCATCCCTCTCCCACCTCTCCTCCCCCTTGGCAACCACCAATCTGTTCCCTTTGCCTGTGAGACTATTTCTGTTTTGTAGATAGGTGTGTCATATTTTAGATTCCACATACAAGTGATATCATATATTTGTCTTAGTCTATCTGACTTCACTCAGTATGATAATCTCTAGGTCCATCCATGTTGCTGCAAATGGCATTATTTCGTTCTGTTTTTATGGCTGAGTAGTATTCCATTGTATATATGTATCACATCTTCTTTATCCATTTATCTTTGGACATTCATGTTGTTTTCATGTCTTGGCTATTGTAAACAGTGATACTTTGAACATAGGGGTGCATGTATCTTTTTCAATTATAGTTTTGTCTGGATATATGCCCAGGAGTGGAACTGCTGGATCTTATGGTAACTCTATTTTTAGTTTTTTGAGGAACCCCCATACTGTTTTCCACAGTGGGCTACACCAACTTACATTCCCACCAATAGTGCAGGAGGGTTCCCTTTCTCCTCACCCTCTCCAGCAATTGTTATTTGAAAAGAGCTAAAATTATGAAGACATAGAATAAAATAAATGACGAGGCATGATTAAATATAAGAATAAAAGATAAAATAAAACTGGATTGTGAATCAAAATTCTTTGTTATACACTCAAGATTTCTATCTACATGTTTTAGCAATTTGGAAGATAATTAGGTCAAGCCCTTTCTATCAGTAAGGCACTGAGTTCTATTTAAACACTTGGGTAAATGAGGGTTGTAGGGAAAAAACAGGGAGGAAGAAATGAGAGGGAAGAGAAAGACGTTTCATGTTTCTTAAGTGTCTAGTAAGTGACTGACAAAGTCCTAGGAGATTTTTTTAAGTAGTCAACAGGAAATATTTCTATAGTCAAATTCTTTAAAATTTGAAATTAGTATAGGCTAATCACTTGAAATAAAGAACTAAACATGATGTTTTAAAATGTGTGTAAAAGTCTTCTGGGGTCAGTAAGTGTCTAAATTTCTGTATGTGAAGATTTTAAAAGTCAGAAAAATTTTATTTTCAATATTGTACTCATGATTGAAGACTGAAAAAAAAATCCTCCTTAGTTATTGACTGGTGAGTGAACTTCCTCTTGAAAGCCACTTCCTCCAGGAAGCCTTCCCTGCCTTCTCAGACCAAGGGATGTCTCCACAGCCCTCTGCACTTTAATCTTTGTCACTGTCCGCACATTTGCAATTACTTTTTCAATGTCTGGCTTCCCTGACAGACCTAAACATCATGAGGACATGAACTGTGCCTGCTTTCCTACTGCATCCTCTGTGCCTAGCAAAATAAACAAATCACAATAATTCTGTTTAATGAATCAGTAAACCAATCATCTCAGGACTTCTTGAAAATAAGATGCATCACCTACATTGTATTCTTTGATGTTCCTAAATAGGGGCAAAAAATTTCTCCATGGGTAATTTAGGTGGGACTTACCTATTTTCTCTGTCCTTAGATGCACGTTCTGACAAAGTCACAACTGTAGCAATCAATCAATTAAAATAAAATAAAATAACAAAACCAGAAAAACCACTGTCATTGTTATGACCAAATGAATACAGGCCTGTCCCCAGAATTGTTTGTTTGTCTGATTTTTGATGAAACACCATTGGGCAAGTATTCAGGGTAGCCCCAGTAAGGGAGATTAGAGCCACAGTTATGCTATGAACTTGTCATATGACCTTGAGCACTGTTGCCTGACCTTGCTGAGTTCAGTGTCTTATCCAAAAGAGAACCATTGCAGAGTTTTTGAGATGAATGGAGTACTTTACATAAAAGCATTTAGAGGGCTTCCCTGGTGGCACAGTGGTTGAGAGTCCGCCTGCCGATGCAGGGGACATGGGTTCGTGACCCGGTCCGGGAGGATCCCACATGCCACAGAGCGGCTGGGCCCGTGAGCCATGGCTGCTGAGCCTGCGCGTACAGAGCCTGTGCTCCGCAACGGGAGAGGCCACAACAGTGAGAGGCCCGCGTACCGGAAAAAAAAAAAAAAAAGCATTTAGAAAATGTCACCCCAGATTTTAGGTACTGCTACTAATGTTGATAAGCTTTTTGGAGAACTAGAAAAACTATTATCCATACTGCTAGAAACATCTCTAGTTTTAAGAATTGTCCTCTAAAATGGACACTTCATGAGCATGGTAAGTCAGCATATCATTTAACCTGTTTCAGAAGGGTAACAGTCTTCAGTTTTGATTGTCCTTTTTTCCCCCATTTATAATTTTTTGTCCTAAGTGTGTAAGGACAGAATATCAAGCTGTTACGTTTAAAGGTTAATCTCACAGCAAAATTTTAATGTTTATTTGCAGATTGAAAACCCTCTACTGGTTCTGTTTAAAAAACTAAAAAAAAAAATTAAGTGGTAAGGGATTCTACTAAAGTTAGCTGATGGAATTTTTCTCAATTCTTCAAAATCCTGGGCTTCACCTAAATATAGAAACATTACCATTTATTTATTTATTTATTTATTTATTTATTTTTTGCGGTACGCGGGCCTCTCACTGTTGTGGCCTCTCCCGTTGCGGAGCACAGGCTCCGGACGTGCAGGCTCAGCGGCCATGGCTCACGGGCCCAGCTGCTCTGCGGCATCGAACCCGTGTCCCCTGCATCGGCAGACGGACTCTCAACCACTGCACCACCAGGGAAGCCCCATTACCATTTAGTTTTTGAAAACTTATGGGATCCTGAAGACAGGTGTTTAATTGGAAAAGCATCTGCAGCGCAGCACTGATTCCAACTCATGCTGCTCTCCTTGTTGACCACACACCAAATAAGGGCAGAAATGGCCTCTTTGAGTTTTTTAGAATTATGTTAACAAACAAGAAAAGCAGTGATGGACTTACCAGGCTGAGAAACAAAACTACTCCCTCGGGAGAAAGCAAAAAGTCCCCAAATACCATGAATCTCTAAATAACAACAATCTCATGCTTTCAACTTTGGCGATAGGAAGTCTTTCCATGACAGTGTTCAATATCTCGCTAAATCTGGATATCCGTTTATTGGAGCCAATATTCATAAACTTTCCCATTCCTGGGCACTTATTGACCTGACACCCCCAGGACGCCTTCCTCACCCTGCCACTCCCGTGCACTGACTGATTCTGTGAAGTAAACATCATCATAAGGTCAGGGTATTTTTTTAATTCCTTATTTTACTATGACAATATCAACTACTTACTTGGTATTTACAGTGTGATAAGAGCTTAACATAACTTATATTATCCTCACAACAATATACCGATAACAGCTTACCTTATATTTATTCTGTTTTCTAGCTAAGGAAATGGAGGCTTAAAAAGTTAGTCATTTGCCCCTATGCTCACACAGCCAATGAGTGGCAAATCTGAGGTTAAAATTGAGGCCTCAACAGTTATAAAACCTAGGTTGTTAACCAGTATATGCCTAGACAATAAGTGAGCTGAGGAATAAATGAGGGAGAGTGTGTGTGGGTCTAAATCGGTGCTAAGTGGCTAAGGATACAAAAGAAAAATGGTCCCTCTTTATAGAGGATTGTGACTGAGAAAACATCTTACCTCATAAAAACATCTCTGTGACCTAATGGTGGTCAGCATTTCCTCAATAAAATGTATCAATATTGCTCACAACAATATTGGCATTTTTCTTTTACAGATAAAGGGGGCACAAAAAAGAATGCTGTAAATAGGGCACTCAGCTCTGGAATATTCCAGAATGAGTTGAATTACAGATGGCAAAAACACAAACTTGAGGAGCCATGTAAAACTTGTTTCAGAAAAAAATGTAGAATATGGTTCTTGCCATATCAAAAAGAGATTTTTTTCCAAAATAGTATTATGAAAATTTTCAAAAATTTAGAAAAGTTGAAAGAATTCTACAGTGAATTCTTACCTAAGCTGTGCAGCCACAACTTAGGTTCTGCCTGTAACATTTAAGAGCTTGCTTCTTAACAGGTGGTTATTATATTGGACTTGAGCAACGAGAACTATACTGTTATAGTGAGATTCATCTGAACAATATGCATGGCTTGTACATGATGCTGACCTACATTTAAGTCTCTATGCCCTATGACCTACATTTAAGTCTCTCAGTTCATACTGAGTCTATTGTAAAGTGTGGACTTTGTATAGGCAAAGACGATATATTTGTTAAATGTAATGTAAATACCATAGTGTATTTGAATTCCTAAATCTTACTAACAAAAGCAAATTAATGACTACACAGTAAATGTTAAAGATCTGCTAAAGATTATGAATTATCAAAATCAATATCCATTTAGGTGATAAAAGCTGTCAATCATGAGCTCTTATTCCACATTAGTCCTATGTAATACATTTTCTGGATTGTTTCATACAGG